GGATTAAACAGTCTACTACAATGAATGTGCAGTATGGAGTTCTTTCACATTAAAAGTATTGCATTTATAATGTAATGCATCATGTGCAATAATTTGCTTTAATTGTTAGTAAGTTATGAAAACAGGACCTGGTAGGTAAACTGTTGATTCATAAATAAAGTTCAGCTCAACAAGTTTCACACTGCAGCAGCTGCACTAACGTTATTTCTGAAACAATAATCTAATAAAACATTATTACTGAAGTTACTCACAGTAACGTAGTCAAGCCAAATAGGTTGGCGAGCTGAACAACTTTACATAACGTTACATATCTAACTTGGTGGAGCTCATTCACTAAACACACAGTCGCCTTCAGTTTAAAAGATTTATCACCATGAACTCTTAACGCTCCTCTCTGGGCCCTTTATATTTTAAAACTTTATATTTACATGGAGGGGGGTCCTCTCTGTGGAGGCCCCCATGTTTTTTTATTGTGGTCTAAACTGGACAAACTAAAACCTTTTACGGTTGTGGTCACACGGCTCTGTGGAACACCTCGTCCTTCACAAAGAACACAGCATTTCTGAACTTCAAAAAGGAAAATATTTTTAGCTTTACCCCGAAACCATATATTAATGATACTTTAGTGATGTTGAGTTGGCATCGACTGATTCCATGTCTCAGATGAGAATGAGATATTCAAAGAACTGTGCAGCCCCCTGCTGGTGACAGGTGTGGGTTACAACACCATGTCCTGTTCCCAAACTGAACTGAGAGAAACACTTCTTGTAGTCAGAGTGAAAATATGTACAGTATGTCTGCTCACATATTCATCCATTACTGACAATAACCCCTCAATTAATTTCTCATTGCTGCTCTCCTCATCACTATCAGACATTTTCTAATGTATAAATATTTCAAACACTGACACACTTCTTCATTATGTTACAAACTGTTTCTATCTAATCAATGTTGTAAATACTGTTATTTTGTTGATGTTCTCAGTTACACGCTGCATCTATCGCTCTTCTGTGCACTGGCTCTCTGAGGTTTCTATGTGTTTTTCCCCTGTAAATGGTGGTTTTTATTTTTTTTGCTAGATTTTTCTTATTGTTGAGGATTAAGGACAGAGGCTGTTGCACCTTGTTAACCCCTGTGAGACAAATTGTGATATGTGAATATGGTCTCTACAAATACAATTTGATTGATTGATAGAGAGATCTAAACAAAATGTTAAATGCTTATAAGCTCGTCATGTCAGCTTTCATCCTTAGTTAAAATAAAACCTGATGCAATGACATAAATTCTGTCGGATTTAATTATCATTATTTATCAAAAGATAAGATAAGATAATCTTTATTGATCCCACACCAGGGAAATTGACTCGTTACAGCAGCAGATATTCAGAATGAGGTAGAAAATAGAACACGTGAAATTATAAAATAGCCAATTATATAAATAATTGAATTAAATAAAAATACAGATAACATGAACATAACAAACCTTTTAATACAGACGGAAAATATAATATGAAAGGTACTTGAGATTGCAAAAGGATGTATACTGTCTTTGTGCATTATGTATGAGGAGATATTGAAATTATTCCACTATTTATACACACAAATACAGCCACAACAGAGCCATACTGCCAAATGTAACTCAGAGCCATATGAAGTTTTCTTTGACAAAAGTGGTCTTGACCTATAATTGTTGCATCTGTGACCAATATTTCAGATTCTCACCTTTTAAGGTTCTTGGATCTCAGCGATGAGTGAGTCTGGGCCCTGAACTCAGGTCCTCAGGTCTCCAAACCCTTTATGGGAGGTTGAGGCTGGACTTATGTCCAGGATGATCAGTCACCGTCTCTCTGGTGCTCGAAAAAACTCACACGAGAGATCCCACTTCTGAGACCAGGTTTGTGGTGGAAATCTGATACAAAACAAAAGATGAGGATCAAGAAGTTTTATTATAAACCTTTGCAAAGGGTCCACACTGATAACAGAAGGTTTCAGAGTGGCACTGATATAACAACAGTGCCAATATTTATTAGAACACAGTGGGTGGATTTGAGATAAAGCATAAAAGTCAAAGCTGTGAGTTATTAAAAATATGAGCAGTTGCAGCTAGGTACAGCTTAGCCAGCTGGAACAATCGTTATGTCTCACATTCAAGGCTCAAAATGTGATTTTGTTTTGTCACTCCAGTCTCATCTGGTAACCTGTGAGCAAAACTGAGTATTGATCAACAACTTTAACAGTTGTTGCGCTCCAGCAGTCTTGCTTTAATTCCTCTGACTGATCTAAAAGTTAGTCGTGAGTAAGACATTCCTGTTTTATGTATTCCAGTGTCCAGCCACCCAGCTGGACGTGGCCTTCGTCATATCAACAAGTGGGCGGCTCTTTTGATTCTGAAATGGAAAGCCTGGCTGTGATGGTTCTCTTTGGTCTGTCATCTTAATCTTCAAAGTCCATTCAGTGGAACTGAACCTCCTTAGTTGAGCAAACTGAATGACTCATACCTTCTGCTCTGCACGCACATTGACAAACACACACACACACANCACACACACACACACACACACACACCTTCCTTGGAGGTCTGTCATGCTGCACTTTGACATGCACATCCATGAGACAGCAAAGCAAACTTTTGATGCCATGTAGCTGACAATCCTCTTTTACATCCCAGATCAGAACAGTGAACGGATCGTGCCCACTTTGTGTTTTCTGCAGCCAAATTCCATCAAACAGCAGCGTGAATGCAGACTTTACCTGTGCAGTTTGATAATTGTTCACAGAGACAAAAGGGGGACACAGATGAGAGCTTTCAAGATAACTTCAATCTATTTTTCTGTCAGTTGAGTGGGTGATGATGATGCCTGAGACTTAACCACAGAGCTTGAATTTATAATGTTGTCCAGGGGCCTCTGAAGTTTCTGATCAGACATGACAACAGTTCCAAGAATCAGGTTTATTGGATTTTGGGAACACGTTTGCTAAATGAAACCATGAAGCAACCTGCCAAATCAGGAGCATGCTGTTAAAAGACTAGGATTAAAACACATTGCTGCCACCCTGTGACCAACTGTGGCATTACATCTCTGAGTCATGGATTAAAACAACAATCCCCATAAAACTTCCAAGATCTTTGATAAAAAGAAGAATGAAAGGTAGCTTCATTACAGGCTACTGGTAAAATAATACATATTTTTGTCTAATAATGTTTTTCCTCAGCATGTGATAAATGAAAACAACATAATCCAGAATAGTCATGTTGATGTTCATCATAATTTGATTTAGCAAAGTTGGATGTAGCTGCAATGAACCTCTCCAGAGACCTTTAAAATCTTCTTTTTTAATGGTCATACGTCTTATACATTTTTAAAAACACAGTATACATATCCATATCCATATATATCTTTATGTAAGGTCCAATATGCACCAGTGTCATGTGGAAAATGTAAAAGCTTGAAATACAAGTTGAAGTCACATTTTCAAATGGTTAGCACCGTTATGAAAATACAAAAAAGAATATTGGACTGTACAAATACAAATCAAAAGTAAACTTTGCATATATTTAAATCGTCATTCCTCTTACAATTATGTGTGATAGCTCAACAAATTGTAAATACTTCATGTACTGTTTTCTGATTTAATTCATAACGTGCCAGATACACACACACACACACACACACACTGATTCACACTGCAACTTGTATTTATCACAACTGATACTGAACAGACTCATGAGCTGGGAATTCTCTATAAAACTAGAAATTCTGTGATTGGTTTCCCGACAGTTGAATCCTCCCCAGGAAGATGTGAAGAACTTCCTCGTTATTTCTAGAAAAAGATAATGGAGATGAGGAAGTTCATCCACACTTTTATATTTCATACGGTTGGTCCAGATATTGTATCCATTGTACAAGGCCTGTCTACAGCAGGATACACAGAAAGAAATATCCTGTATGATTCACTCGATGAAATCCTTGTAACAATTTGCACAAGAACTTTCTAAGTACATTTTTCTGCTGTAATATCAAGTACAACTCACCTGCCACAGTATCAACTTGCCAATAAACTCAACATATCTGAAAAGTTTGAAGTAAATGTAATTTAAGTACACCATAGTTATTATACAATTAAAGCAGAGTAGTTTAAACTTTAAACTGGAGGAGGCATTTAAATGGACACGTGTCTCCTATAGTGATAAGTCCATTGTATGAGCAGTGGAAGTTTTAATTTCCCAGATCCCACATCAGTAAACGGTACATTGGCTTCCAAGCTGGAAGTGATATCACATGTCTATCTGCACCAAACTGCACTGCACTTTCTCTGGCAATTTCCCAAAGACACGTGTTCTACAGACAGACAGACCGTTTGTGGAATTAATTGTTAGACTCACATTGCTTTTTGAATGATCTAAACTATAGCGGTTCCAGTGGAGGATGCCCTGATCAAGCCCCTCTTATGGGTTTTTTTTTTTGCAGCTGATTACATTTTGTTTTTCTTTTTGAATGTGTATGTGTGTAATCCTACACAAATCAAAACCCTTCCACATAAGAAAACAGTCTTTAACTGTCAAACTCTGTATATGTTGCACAGTGAAGTACTAGCATCTATGTTTTTACTTATTTTTATACCTTTGGCTAGTTTTTATCCTAAATTTGAGTTGTATTGCTCACGTGTTCTTGTTGATCTCTTATTTCATGTCTTTGGTTTTATTGTAAAGGATATTTTATGACTGAAAGGTGGGAATTGAAGATTAAAATGGAGAATAACACTGAGCAGACTGCATATCTGAGGAGGTCACACAACAGTAGGATCATGAGCATCCATTGTTATCGTCAGCCTGAAGTGTGAACAGGAACAGGAGGTGTCAGTCAGAGGTCAGCGCTGATCCAGGGTCAGATCCAGGTCCTCCTCCTTCACTATCAACTACCGGGTCTACGCTGCCGTTGCGTTACCATGGAGACCTAGACACAATCAGTGCAGGCACTCACCCGGGACAGAGGAGCCGACATGGAGGAGTCACCTGCCGAGGACCGGAGGCTGCTCTTCATCGCCGACTTCGTGCTGAAGTCTTTTAAAGTCAAACAGGACAAGTGGCAGAAATGTGTCTCCGGCGAGGAGAACCGCCAGGTGCTGCAGGACTTCCTGGACAGAGCCGAGCAGCGGAGCCTGGTGGTGTGTTTGACCGTCGGCGGGACGCTCCAGGCCGCCGCCGGTTTCGGCTCCGCGCCGCCCAGAACCAAGGCTGTGTACTTCATGAAGCGGGGAACCACCGCGCTCACCGCGGAGACCATGAGGGAGAAGCTGACCTGCGGGGACATGTCCTCCAACCCGCTGGAGCTCTTCTCCGCCGTGGTTGAGGTGAGCAGCGTGTTCTCCGTGTGGCTGGGGACTGGCTTCATGGACTGACTGTGAAGTTTGTACATCACTCAGAATAAGTCATACAAGTACATTTGCTCAAGTACTGTATTTAAGTACTGCAGTCAGTAAAGACTTGAGTATTTAGCAGCTTTGAAAGACAAATATTAAACTCCTCTTCTGCCTTTAACCATTAAAATCAACACTTACAAACCACAGACAATCCAAAGCTAACCAGTTACCCTTGCTAACCCTTGCTCACCCTGCTAACTAACACAAAGACAGGGATGGGGACTCCATTTCTGGCATTAGTTTCTGGAAAGTAACTAAGTACTTTTACTCAACTACACTTAAGGGTGGAACCATAGACTGTATTTAAAGATGGACGACGCGTCTCCACCTCCCCCAGCTATCCAGAAATGAAGCCAACACCCGCCATCTTTCCCATTTGCACTGTTATTTCATACTCATTCAAATATGTCTGTATGTGGAACACGTGTCTTGCAAACGGTTCATCTAATTTGCTGTAAACCTGGCATGTACATTCTTAATGGCCCAGGGAAACTTTGGTACATTCAATATGAATTCAAATTGAATAAACAGGTGACCAGCCCTCTGTGGTCAGTGTGGGTGAGGCAGTGTGCCTTAAAGGGACCTCCATAGCCTCCATACTGCTCATGTGGTGTCATCCAAGTGTCTGCAAGCACAGACGTTCATATCCGACTCGAAACAAGGTCTAAATGTCATGTTAAGGTAAATGTCCACCACCGTAAGCAGCTAGAAGACGTAGCCACGTGACAGTGTGCCTGAAGGTGAACACACCTTGGATGAGGATATCAGTAGACATTTAGGCTAAAAACATGGTGTAAATGATGACGTTTGGAGCCTAATATGAATGTTGGGGCCCGCGGACACTTGGATGGCACCACACAATTACATTTAGCAGTTGCTGGCAATGCAATGCTTGAGTCCCAGGCTCCCCTTTAAGGAAAAAATTAAAATAGAATATAAAATGTAAAAAATGAAATAGAATATTTAAAATAAAAAAGTAGTGCCCATATTGTAAGGTGCAGAGAGATGAATTATGACAGATGGGAGTGGTTTACAAGTCTTATGGCCTGGGGGATAAAACCGTCTCTGAGCCTGGTGGTGCGGGCCCGGGTGCTGCGGTAACGTTGATGACACAAGCAGTATGGAGGCATTTTCATTTTTTTTCTGTTGTTTTTATCACATCTGAAGAAGAGGTCGCGATTGACTTCAAATGTTACTGGTTTTGGCTGCAACGCTATTTACCCCTGAGACTCCAGAAGTCATTTGTGGACTCAAACACTTCACCCACCCCTTCATCTGCATAGTGGTGTGTAGCTAATGAGTGAATTTTTATTTTTTGCTGAGCTATGCCTTTAAGTCTGCGGACTTGTGTTTTATTTATCATTTCATTTGTTATATGTGTGCACTTTTTATTTTATTATTTAGATATTAACTTTTATTTTAGATTTACCTTGATTAAGCCCATATTTACTCCATAAATTAAAAAAAATCTCAATATATTTTGCATTTTCTTGATCCAGTCATTGTACATTGTGGGTATTAAGTGGACTACAGTTCTAATTAACGAAGCTCATGCAAGGGAAACATTTACTTAAATAATGAAGGCCTATAACAAGATTTTAAATTTGTTTCCAGACAAAATAGGGGACTTCAAGAAGTATCTAAATCCACAACTCATTAAATAACCACAAACCTATTCCTTTAAACTCTTTTTACATTACACGTTCACAGGTGCTGGTCCCGTTGCTCTCTAACAGGAGCAACCACACTGAATGGCCACAGGTAGTGTCTGAGGATATTGTGCCCAACGTCCACTCCCTGAAGAATCATGTGTTTGTGATGTCAGGCCAAGTCCAAGGAAAGACTCTGCTGCCTCTCCCCATTGACTTTGAGAGAGTGGAGCAAGCCGCCCTGGAGATGGGCAAAAGGTAAACAAACAGCTAGGACATAAAGGTTTGTGTCAATGCATCATTTCTCCTACTTGTACATTCTAATGGTTTATGAAACCATACAGGGGAGGAATTGTGGAAAGGTGCATTATCCACTCCTTGGAGTCAGCAGTGATTGAGTGGAGCCGTCAGATCTCTGCCTTCCTGAAGATAGACTCCTCTGGGGCTCTGCTAGAAGGCAAAAACCCCACACCGGACACAGAACTGCTCTTCTGGAAGAACAGGTCAGCACCTCAGTTATTACAGACACAAAGTATCCACTGGCAGCTCCTCAGCAGCACTTGTTCCAGGGATGAGAATGTGTGTAAATAACCCTCTAGGACCTCTAGGACCTCAAAGTTGGTTGTTTTTTTCTAAATTCTTGCTGATGCTACTAATTGTTTGATTTTCGGAGCACACTTGAGCTGTCAAGGGAAAAAAGCAATTTGTGCACTCTACTTTTTTGTACTAACGTAGCAGAATTACATATTGAAAAAAACTTGTTTGTTCTTTTAAGGCTGCTGCGCATCAGAGGATATCAGGGCCGATTTTAGACATGATTTGCCCCTTCCAACAATTGTGGGTAGCGAAATAGAGAGTACATTGACTGGGAAGTGTCACCAACCAGATGTTGTGTGCTTGTACAGCTCGCGCTGCAAAATTCTATGAGATTTCAAGTCTGCAGAATTGCCACTGTGAAATAATTTCCTACAAACGGCAAGTGTATGGTCTGACTTTCTGGCCAAATCATCCAGTGTGTGTTGAAGATTAGGATATTAGGAATCGGTTAAATCTGTCATTATGTCTGTAGTCTCCCACATTTTAAAATCAGAGTTTAAATCCTCTTGTGTGCATTTTTTTTTCTGTTGAATGGAAGTTAATATATTTTAATTTTTTAATGTTCTTCTGAAGTTTATGTTTGATCTGACGAAAATGCCAGTATTCCATTTGTCACTAAGCCTTTGTATTTGAATGCCTGTTAGCTTGCTAAATTGTTAGATGCTATAGCTTTGAGACTCCAACAATAAAGTTTGTATTAGCAACCTTGTTGCTCTTGCCTAGCAACGGTGTTCTCATGTCCTCACCACTTAAATGCTAAGCACTGTGTACACAACTTCTCACAAACTCCATTTAAAGGCAGAATTACACTCAACAGAATTACAATACACACCAACTTACACAACATACTACACTGCTAATGTTTCACTTAATGATTATACTTTGATTAGGTTGGTATAGTCAGATCACCCCCCCCCCATGTAAAGTACATTCAATCTTCTAACAAAGCAAGCAAAATACAAATCAAAGTAAGTTAATATGACCCTAAACTGTAACTTTTGCATTTACAGCATCAATGCTGTTGCTTTTTGTCTGTAGAGCTCACACCAAACTCACACTCACAAGTTTTAAAGAGTTTTTAAATAGGTGGTGCAACAATCCATTGTTTGTCTACAAATGTGACAGGAACCTTTTTGACCTCCATCTTTCTTTTTCCCACTTGTAGATATGCAGATTTGAAGGGTGTCCATTCCCAGTTAACATCCTCTAAAGTGAACAAGATGGGGAAGCTGTTGGAGGCTGCGGAGAGCAGCTATTTCCCTGCTTATAGAAACATGCAGAAGAACGTTTCTGCAGGTAATGAATCTGTACATCTGACATGAGACACATGTAATTAGACTTGGGTCTCTGAGGTGTAGCGTGTATCTGGTTGATGCATGATTTGAGATGATTTATYGCCATCTTCTTTTTCACAYGTGGTTTAGTTGGTTGAATTGACTTTRATAACATTTTCACTTGCAGCCTTAGAAGAAGCAAAAGACATCAGCATCTACTTGAGTCCCCTCSAGCWCCTGTTTGAGAACCTGGAGAGCATGGAGTTTCCTGATGTCAAACGTCAGATTGGCCCTTTGATGCACACAGTATGCCTGGTGTGGGCAAACTCAAGACACTACAACACACCACAGCGCCTCATCCTTCTGTTACAGGAGACCTGCAACCTCCTCATACAGCAGGTCAGCAGCAGTTATACTTTTCTTTGTTTTATTTTTGTTTWGAAAATTTGAGCCATAATTATTTGAATGTGAGGTAGTAATAGTAATTAGGGAGAAAAGGTGACCAGCAACAATCAGCCAATGTATATGAAGCTTGATAGTTTATAATTCAACCAAAGTCTTTATTA